GGAAGGAGGTGGGGAAGACTATTAGCTTTCCCAGGCAGCAGATGGGGCAGTGTTCACTACTCATGCTACTTCCCTCTTCCCTAGAGCATCGCAGGACCCTTCTTCCCCTCGTCTCCAGAGCCAGGGGTGAGGCTCCCACAAGAATCACCCAAGGGGCAGACTGAGCTCCCTTTTTATGCCTCTGTTTTCTAGGCTTTCCCAAACTTTGGAAAAAGTCTGACTCTGTTTTGAATGCTAGGGAATTCCTAAATTTAGATAGATGAGAATCTCAGTTTCCAGTGCTCAGGGCATTTCTTATCAAGAAGGGGATAATTACTGAGGAGCTGTCACGAGACCACAGGCACTGTGTGTAAACCCAGCCTTCACCCTCCTTTCCTGTGTCCCGCAGAGCCTGTCCCATTCCCTGCAGGGCTGGTAGTCTCAGAGCAGTGAGCTTGGTTCACTGACCTCATATCTGGTGGTCAGTGTTGGCTGTTGGCTGAGGGGCCTCAGTTCTCTTCCACATGGCCTCTCATCCTCCAATAGGCTAGATCAGCTTTCTTATATCCAAGAGGGAAGGTGGAAGCTGCAAGGCACTTGAGACCTAGACTCCAGAACTGGCACAGGGTTCCTGTCATCACATTCTGTTTGTCAAAGTGAGACCCTAGACCCAACTTGATTCAAGACATGATGAATTAGACTGCAGTCTCAATCAGAGTAACATATTTTCTGATCTACCATAATTGTCTTATAACTTTAATTATTAATTATAAGTTTAACAAACATAAAAGACCCCAAATAGCCAAAGCAACCTTCAGAAAGAAAAACATGGAGCTGGAGGAATTAGGCTCCCTGACTTCAGACTATACTACAAAGTTACAGTCATCAAAACAGTATGGTACTGACATAAAAAAACAGACACATAGATCAGTGGAACAGGATAGAAAGCCCAGAAATAAACCTATGCAACTATGGTCAATTAATCTATGACAAAGGGGGCAAGAACATACAATGAAGAAAAGACAGTCTCTTCAATAAGTGGTCCTGGGAAAACTGGACAGCTATATGGAAAAGAATAATACTAGAGCATTCTCTAACACCAAACAGAAAAATAAACTCAAAATTGATTAATGACCTAAATGTAAGACCAGATACTATAAAACTCGTAGAGGAAAACATAGGTAGATCACTCTTTGACATAAATTGCACTATCTTTTTTGATCCACCTCCTAGAATAATGAAAATAAAAATAAACAAACGGGACCTAATTAAACTTAAAAGCTTCTGCACAGCAAAGGAAACCATCAACAAAACAAAAAAACAACTCTCAGAATGGGAGACAATATTTGCAAATGAAGCAACTGACAAGAGATTAATCTTCAAAATATTCAATCTACTCATGCAGTTCTATGTCAAAAAAACAAACGTCCCAATCAAAAAATGGGCAGAAGATCTAAATAGACATCTTTCCAAAGAAGACATACAGATGGCCAAAAAGCACATGAAAACATACTCAACATCACTAATTATCAGAGAAATCCAAATGAAAACTACAAGTTATCACCTCACATCAGTCAGAATGGCCATCATCAAAAAGTCTACAAACAATAAATACTGGAGAGGGTGTGGAGAAAAGGGAACCCTCCTACACTTTTGGCAGGAAAGTAAATTAGTACAACCATTATGGAGAACAGTATGAAGGTTCCTTAAAAAACTAAACAGAGAACTACCATGTGATCCAGCAATCCCACTCCTGGGCATATATCCAGAGAAAACCATAATCCAAAAATATATATGCACTCCAGTGTTCGTTACAGCAGTGTTTACAATAGCCAGGACATGGAAGCAACCTAAATGTCCATCAAAAGAGTAATGGATAAAGAAGAAGTGGTACATATATACAATGGAACATTACTTAGTCATAAAAAAAGAATGAAATAATGTCATTTGCATCAACATGGATGGACCTAGAGATTATCATACTAAGTGAAGTAATTCAGACAGAGAAAGACAAATATCATATGAGATCGCTTATATGTGGAACCTCAAAAAAATGGTACAAATGAACTTATTTATAAAACAGAAATAGAGTTATGGATATAGAAAGCAAAATTGTGGTTACCAGGGTGGAAAAGGGGGAAGGCAGGGATAAATTGGGAGACTGGTTTTGATACATGCGCACTACTATATATAAAATAGAAAACTAATAAGGACCTACTGTATAGCACAGGGAACTCTACTGAATACTCTGTAATGACCTATATGGGAAAAGAATTTTAAAAAGAGTATATATATATATATATTTTATATATATATAAAACTGATTCACTTTGCTATACACCTGAAACTAACACATTGTAAATCAACTATATTCCAATAAAAATTTTAAAAAAAAAAACAACTTAATGGTTACCAAAGGGGAAAGGGGGGTGGGGCAAGGGATACACTGAGGTTGGGATTAACATATGCACACTACTTTATATAAAATAGATAACCTACAAGGATCTACTGTATAGCTCGGGGAACTGTACTCAATATTTTTTTATAACCTATAAGGGAAGAGTTTCATATATGTATATATATGTCACTGTGCTGTGCACCTGAAATTAACATGATATTTTACATTAATTATATTTCAGTTATAAAAAGACCAACGATACTACAGTATAACCACATCCTAATTAACCTAATTATATCTACAATGAATATTTTCCAAATAATGTCATATTCTGAGGTTCTGGGGGCTAAAACTTCAATATAAGTTTAGGGAAATAGTATTGAACTAATAATAGAGCATAAAAACAGTTCTTAAGTTAAAACATGTTAAAAGATTCCTATAAAAGTAGCTTTAATATTTATAACAATTTCTCCATTTTGCTTCATATTTGTTTGTATTTCTTTCAGGTGCTTATCTTTTGACTTCTTTCACTACATGGTTGATTAGAGGGCTGGAATTTCAGGATAGCAGCCTGCTACCTAGTAGAAACACCTATTTGTCTTGGTACCTTCATCAGCCAGGAGTAAAACCCAGAATCTTTTTGCTACTATCATTAAAAAAAAAAACAAAACAGGTCAAGGAAAGCAAAAACTTTAAGAAATAGATAAAATGAAAGAGTAAATAATATTTTGAACAGTGAAATATGGAACATGTGTAATTCTACTTGTACCTCTACACCATGGCTTATCTCCGTTAATGAGATTATTGCCATAGGGTTCAGAGTTTAAAGATGAACATAATTTTTGTTCGGTTATTTTTTCAGCATTGTTTCAAGATTTTATTCTTGAATATTTCCCAGAGAATATTCAGACCAGATGTTCTTGTGGAATCTTACATAGTATCGTATTAGTTAATTTGTCTTGGTCAGTTAAGTCTGACTTTGGATTTAAATTATCCAAACTTTAATAAGATGGCAAAGTCAACTTTTTCAATTTCTCCAAGGTTTTATTTTCAAGACAAAAGCAATTTGACATTGGCACTATGTTTCAGGAGCTGTTCAATTCAACAGGACCTGCACCAGGCTGACACATGAGAATAGTCGTGTTGTTTTCCTATTTAATGAAAGCTGGTGTGACAGACTGATGCCCTGAGCAGTGGTGGTCTGGAACTGTGTTCCATAATGACCATTCTTAAATAAAAGCCCAGGAATGTGTCAATGATAGACATAGGCTACACTGAGACGTTAAAATAAAGGATCCAGGGCTTCCCTGGTGGCGCAGTAGTTGAGAGTCCGCCTGCCGATGCAGGGGACACGGGTAGGGCCCCGGTCCGGGAAGATCCCACATGCCGCGGAGCGGCTGGGCCCGTGAGCCATGGCCTCTGAGCCTACGCGTCTAGCGCCTGTGCTCCGCAATGGGAGAGGCCACAACAGTGACAGGCCCGCGTACTGCAAAAAAGTAAAAATAAATAAATAAATAAATATAAAGGATCCAGTCATTGCTTTTCTCAGAAAGGGCATCTCCTTTTGAAATGTAGACTGATGGCTGTGGCTTCCAACATATTGGCCAGTGAGAACCTTAGGTCCTCACACAGAGCTGACAAGACCCAGGAAACCCTGCAGGACCTGGTTCTACCAGGTGAGAAAGAGTCAACAGGAGATGAGTTTTTCTAAGCACCACTCAGAAAAAATAATATAAAATCGTTGTTTTTTCATTATGTTCCATCATCCCAAGTGAATTTTTTCCTTTGATTAATCTGACATATATATGTGTATATATATGTGTGTGTGTGTGTGTGTATGTACAAAACATATATATATAGAGAGAGAGAGAGAGACAGAGAGACAGAGAGACAGAGACAGAGAGATAGAGGGACAGAGACAGAGACAGAAAGAGACAGAGAGAGAGAGACAGACATAGAACTATGATAGATTATTCACCAGAGTAAAACAACTGGTTTTCAGGTATTTCATTTTACTGTCAAGTTCTTGTGATTTAAGTGGTCTTTGAAATATAATTCATGAGGTCTCAGGAAAAGACCAGTTCTAACATCTGTTTCTAACATTCTTAAACAGGTAACCTGGGAACTGCACTTACCTGACAGCTCTTGAAACAGCTTAACTCTATGCAGTTATTTGGAGAAAGTTCTGGTGGTCAGTACTAGCGGGGAAGGAGCTGTTCTCTTATCTAGATCAGCCTGGAAGAATCAGAGCAAGATGACTGTTCCCCTCCCGGATATTGACCCTGGACCCACATGCCTTCACTTCAGGGTCTCGTATGCTTTCTTATAGCCACAAGCCACGTGCAGTGTGTTCTTGCAATCAACCGGGACTTTCACAGTGGAATTCTTCTTCCCACTATTCCAAGAAGTCTGGATTTTAGATGTTCATTTTATTCCAAACACAGAAGGCCTTTATTTCACTTTGCTCAAAGTTGGGCCCCTCCCTTCCTCCCTCCCCCTGGCTCTTTCCACACAGCTGCCCCCCCTCCCCCACCAGGGGATTTGCATGTTGTTCCCGAGGGAGGACCTTCCCCTGCAAGTGTGAGATAAAAGCTCAGCTCCAGTCGTGCTCTGACTTATCAGGACTCATCAATTGCAGCTTCTGAAAATGGGGTTCCCTGCTCAGCTCTTGGGCCTCCTCATGCTCTGGGTCCCAGGTAAGGTCGGAGGGGAGATGAGAAGGAGGGTGGGAGGGTGAGCTCTGGGAGCACCACCACTGCTTTTCATGTGTCTTTGTCCACATGTTAGAAGCATACCATACCCTCTGCAAAAGACATGTGATGTTTAGTGATATGAGAATGAGGATGAATCTGGAAGGAACAAGCAGTGTCTGTCCTCTGGTGAAGATGGTGGCATAGAAAGAGTGGTCAAGTGTACATGACGTCTAGAGACCTCTTTGCATTGTAAATCTTGGGTTCTTTTTGAAATTGGGTATTTTGGGTATTCTTCGGAATCAAAAAGAAAAAAAAATTAGCCTGACGTCAATAACAGAAGAGAAATTCTGAAACTGTTTCATAAATTTTGTCCAGAACTTTGTTGTTTTCTTTCATTATTTTAGGATCCAATGGGGATATTGTGCTGACCCAGACTCCACTCTCCCTGTCTGTCATCCCTGGAGACCCGGCCTCCATCTCCTGCAGATCCAGTCAGAGCCTCCAAGATAGTGACGGAGACACTTACTTGAATTGGTACCTGCAGAAACCAGGCCAGTCTCCACAGCTTCTGATCTATGGAGCTTCCAACCGGGCCTCTGGGGTCCCAGACAGGTTCACTGGCAGTGGGTCAGGGACAGATTTCACACTAAAAATCAGCAGGGTGGAGGCTGAGGACGCTGGAGTTTACTACTGCCAGCAAGACATGGAAGATCCGCCCACAGTGGTACAGCCCTGAACACAAACATCCCTCTCCGAGTGGCCCAGCTGCCCACATATGTTGACTGTCTGGGGAGCAGGCAGGCAGATTCTCTGAGTCAGTGTAAGAGGAAGATGTTAGAGAATCAGGGGAGTAGTTTGAAGCTGAGGCCTCTGGACCATGAAAGCCTCCTCTACTCCTCAGACATCACAAGTTAAGGCCCCATCAGCTGCAGAGCCTTGCCTGACAGAACCAGCAGGAGAATGGAAGGGTCTAAGTGCCCTCTGAGCAAACAGACCTGAGGAAGGAGAGGTGAGTGAAAGCGCATCCTACTTCTCCCTCCCTCAGGTACAGGTAGGTGTCAAATAAATGTAGTCAGTGTAACAGGTGGACAACTGAAGCAGATTTATCGCAACATAATGGGTTTAGCAGTTTTTGATATATTTTTTAAGATAACATGTCATAATATTCAAGAATATTTTTCCCCACTTTCCCCACTTTCTGATTCTCCCTTTTACTACATATCTTCCTACCTGTTTACCATGTTCTAGACAGCAGTCTACACAGCTGTCCTCAGGGGGAGTTAGCTGAGAACATCAGTAAGACTTTGGGGTTATGAGTGTCTAAATAGTCAGTTGTAAGTCCATAGTCCCTACAATATCCTAATGCTAAACATATCTGATTTGTCTCAATACCTTTCACAGAAAGAAAATGTGAGATATTAAAATTCCAAAAGTAGGGACTAAAAAATAAATAAACGGTAGGGCATAGAATTTACCCTATAGAACACTGGAAGAATACAGAATGATATGAGGGGATTTTTTTCCACAAAAGTTAAGAATTTTAAAATGTGGGAAGACTGCAGGAATGGAAACACAAAGAGAATCTAGTTGACACACACACAGTTGCTCTTTGGCTTCTATGTGGTGGGATTAAAAATGGTGGTGAGGGCTTCCCTGGTGGCGCAGTGGTTGAGAGTCCGCCTGCCAATGCAGGGCACACGGGTTCGTGCCCCGGTCCGGAAAGATCCCACATGCCGCGGAGCGCCTGGGCCCGTGAGCCATGGACACTGAGCCTGCGCATCCGGAGCCTGTGCTCCGCAACGGGAGAGGCCACAGCAGTGAGAGGCCCGCGTACCACAAAAAAAGAAAAAAGAAAATTACCAGATTATAATGGGAAACTCAATCACGAAGCTACTTCACTTCCAAGGCCATGTCTAGCAAGCATCCCTGACATTCTGAGAGCTGATTTTTTAACATTGTATGGTTGTTTCTTTTAATTTCCTGAGGGTGGCATCGTCTTGCCCTAGAACCCTAGAAATCTATGATGTGAGCTCTATTACAGTTCATAGAGTGTACACACAATATCCTTATCTATCACAGATGTATCATGCAACAACATATGTACTGGATCGTATGGCCCAAGTGACACAGCCACTTATATATCATGACCTGAACCTGATGCACAGACCTCTCCTCCCTGCGCCAACTCAGACCTGGCAGCTTTCTGTGTGAGCCACAAATGGGTGGTGTCTTGTACCCAAGTATGGAATGTATTGTGTCAACATTCCACCGAGCCCACAAACACTCTGCCTCACCATCAGTGGTAGGAGGACAAGGTTCAATTTCTTGTTCTTTACCCTGGATAACATGTGCCAGTCTGAGATGCCTCAGGCATCTGGACCCCTGCCATATCCACTGATTGGCAGCCCATGAATTTGGGTAGGATTTGCATCGTATTGTCTGGAGCACGTATATTTTTACCAGTCATTTACAGTCCTGGCGATTTCTTGCCCGTCGAATCTAATGAACGTGATGCCATCAATCCAGTCCTGCATTATACGACACGCTGTGGAATGTCCAGACAATCAAAGTTTCTTCAGCCTTCACTGTGACAGAGAACAAGAGAATTAACACTGTCCTGGGGGAGAACTGAGGATGTGAACTGCTTTTACTCTAGATAAACACAAACTATTCCAGAAGACTGTATTCGTTTGTGTGTTTTTATTCTCCTGCTCAGCTCTGCATGTGATCAAGCATGGACAAACCTTTTCAAAATAATGAGTATAAAGTCTCAGCTTTGAGATGAATAAGGTCCAGTGATCTGCTGTACAGCTCAGTTCCTAAAGTGACAGGACCATATAATGAACTGAATTGTTAGGAGGGGAGATTTCAGTATTATCATTAAAAATGAATAAATAAAATAAAATGGGGCTTCCCTGGTGGCGCAGTGGTTGAGAGTCCGCCTGCCGATGCAGGGGACATGGGTTCGTGTCCCGGTCCGGGAAGATCTCACATGCCTCGGAGCGGCTGGGCCCGTGAGCCATGGCCGCTGAGCCTGCACGTCCGGAGCCTGTGCTCCGCAACGGGAGAGGCCACAACAGTGAGAGGTCCGCGTACCGCAAAAATAAATAAATAAATAAAATAAAATAAATAAAATATAAAATCCTAACAACAACAAAATACCCAACGGGATGTGATGAAAATTTTGAAGGAGAACGATATGTCTAAAACTTTTATTGTGGTAAAGATTTCATGAGTGTATGCATCTATGCAAACTCACCAAATTGTCTATGCTAAACATGTGCAGTTTATTGTATATAAATAAAGGTTGTAGAAAAAAGCTTAACGTGTCTCAACTCTAGATCACCAGCAGAGGGAGACATAATTCACTCAGAGGCAGGACAAGGGCAGGTGCTCTCCTCACAAGCACTCCTGACTATTTAATCCAACATGAAATACCCATAATCTGCATGTATCCTTCCTCTTACCTCTGCCTCTCAGAAGAAGGTGAGAAATCATGATAGATAGATAGATAGATAATAGATAGATAGACACATAAATATAGATATAGATAAGAGCTCTTATTTCTCCCATTGTACCAAGTCAGCCATAGTTAACATTTATAACTTTATATTTTCCACTACCCATGTTCCCACTGCCATATACAACAACACCTTCGGTGTATAGTAACTCAAATCTTTTACTCATTAATGGATTAACCAATTTGATATTTATGTATTGTGTTACTGTAATCTTCTATTAACTATTAAATTTTACTTCTGTACCTGAAAATACTAAGGGGCACTCCAAGAAATGTGCCCAGTTTCAAAGATGCATTTGAAAACTCTGCTTTAGATCTACTTCTCACCAACCTTCCAGTCATGGTTAATCCAATCTTCCGACCATTTGGCCAAACTGTTAATCACTGCTCTTGAATTAGTAAAGATCTCTGACACAGGTTATCTCTGTGCAAGGCAAAGTGGATTAGAGCACATAACCCCAAGTCCTGCCCACTGAGATATTTTCTTCCTGCACGGTCTTACCCCACTATTCTTAAAGTGGGCTTCAATGCTATAAAAATCTACTTTGAAAAGATGAAAGCATATATGACATCAATTGGATCTGAATTATTTTCTTCTTCAATCAGTTTGCTAAAGGGAATCCCCAGAAGCCTGTAGGTACAGCATGAGAGAAAAGGGGGAAGTCTGCAAGCGTTGGTGCCAAGAGAGTTTGAACAACCTACATGGGTAAATCCTGTGTGCCTGGGGGACAGAATCAAGCCCTGGCCTTAATATCCCACTTCTACCTGATGATAGAATGCTCTTTTGCATGCATATGTTTATAGACCAGTGGGTCAGTTACCACTCAATTCAGAAAGAGCAACCCAGGTCACAGGACTCCTTTCGGGCCTATAGACAGCATGTAGTCTCTACAAGGAATTAATAGCAAATCAGAACCCATATCAAAAAAAGGGAATTGGGGGCTTCCCTGGTGGCGCAGTGGTTGAGAGTCCGCCTGCCGATGCAGGGGACGCGGGTTCGTGCCCCGGTCCGGGAAGATCCCACGTGCTGTGGAGCGGCTGGGACCGTGAGCCGTGGCCGCTGAGCCTGCGCGTCCGGAGCCTGTGTTCCGCAACGGGAGAGGCCACAACAGTGAGAGGAAAAAAAAAAAAAAAAAGGGAATCGGTATCTTCAGAAGGGATTATGGCATTATTCCAATACTCTGGAGATCTGAACTGTGCTTCTCCCGCTGAGCTTTCTGTAGCCTCCATACACTGTCCCTATCTAACCCCAGGCACTTTAGCTTCACTGGTCCACTAGGTCATAAAGTCCACTGCAGGTTGTACTTAGTGCAGAGTCTTCTTCTCTTCTGGGACTCGCTCAGAAATGGCAACCTTACAAGTTATTAAGCAATCAGTCAGCTTATAGTCTCCATTTTTTTCAGTTACACCTCCTTATCTATATAAAAAATTGGAGAAAATTATATCCTTTGAGATCTTGGATTACCATACAAACTCTTATCCAAAGGCAGCTTCAACTAAAATTTAATAGACTAGAATCTTTCATTTGGTGCTCGGAATCTTCTTCTGTTCTCCACTCCCCACTTCTCAAGTGACCTAGACTTTCTTACAAGGTCAAACCAAAAATCCTCACATGTAGACGGTGGAAAAAATTATTAAACACCCAGAAAAGCTATGCCTTGTAAGAAGACCATCTTTGGAGTGCAAGGGTGAACTTTGAGTGAAGATCCCAGAGGAGGTGAAGAACTTATAGGGCAGTGAGAGCTCAGGCAGGCAAATCAATGAAATTATTGTCTTACTTTGTCCAGTTAGTCTGTGGGTGAGTGTGATACAGAACATAGTTTAACATTTACAGACAAAAGTCTTCATCTCCAGCACATGATTTTCCCACTCATCTTATTTATCAGTTATATTTAAATATGGGATTTTTATCTTTATTCCAAGAGAAAGGAAACAAAAACGAGTCAAACATTTAGATACAGATTCTGTCATGAACATGGAGAGTAAGGTCTTGATTCAGAAAAGTCAGGCAGGGAATCAAACCTGCTTCTCCAGGGTGTGAGAAAACTTATAAAGTTGGGATAAATACATTCACAGAGCCATTCCTGAAGTCCCTATGAGCCAAAATGCTTTTCCATGGACTTTGCCCTCTGTGGGGTGAGAACTTGCTATTAGTTTTGAAAGGTAACCAGCTCCAATCACAGGTGCCTCAGGGCTCAGGGTCCAGTCCAGCCCACCTTCAGCCGGAGAACTCCCTCTACTGAGTGGGCTGATCTCAACTCTCCCTTAAGGACAAACTCTCTCCTGTTAACACAGAGAACAGCCCTTTGCATTCAGGAGGTGAACAGGCCTCCGTGTGTCTCTAATCTTGTCCAAAGCACCATGGGTTTGGGCTGTTTGGGTGGCAACGTCTACGGAACACCCTGCACTGAGTGTGTAACAGTATCACAGTCTCCATCCCGCAGAGAAAGGACAGCAGGAAAACAAACGCAAACACCAACAAGACAGTCTTCCCAGGCCATGAATATCAGACACTGGCTTTCACTTTTAAGGACCTCAGGCTAATAGTATCTGACAAGAGACAAAAGTACAGTGAAGCTGCCTGCCTAAGACCTTCTTCATTCAGTTGACTGTGGTCAAAATTAGAGACTCACAGAGGTCGGCTCCCCACCCGGAAGTCATGGAGGTCACTCATTCGACCCTGAAACACTCTTATTATTGGTGCGTGGTGTGCAGTGACTAGTGT